ATTGGTCCTGCAACTGTTGGCGGTATTAAACCTGGGTGCTTTAAGATTGGAAATACAGGAGGCATGATGGACAATATTATTTCTTCCAAGTTATATCGTCCAGGTTCTGTATCCTATGTTTCAAAATCCGGTGGAATGTCCAACGAGTTGAATAATATCATATCTAGGACTACTAATGGTGTATATGAAGGCGTAGCTATAGGTGGTGATAGATACCCTGGTTCCACCTTTATTGATCATTTGTTACGTTTTGAAAGTGATCCAAATTGTAAGATATTGGTCTTGTTAGGAGAGGTTGGAGGTGTGGAAGAATATAGAGTATGTGAAGCTATCAAAGACGGGCGTATCAAAAAGCCATTAATAGCATGGTGCATCGGAACTTGTGCCATGATGTTTTCAACAGAAGTTCAATTTGGGCATGCTGGTGCTATGGCTCAGTCTAATTTAGAAACAGCAAACGCAAAAAACATTGCGCTCAGAAATGCAGGTGCCATCGTTCCAGAAACATTTGAAAAATTGCCTTTGGCATTACGTGATGTCTATCAAAAACTTTTATCCGAAGGTACAATCGTACCTGCACCTGAACCGGAAGTTCCAAAGGTACCCATTGATTATACTTGGGCACAGGAACTTGGATTGGTTCGTAAACCCGCAAGTTTCATGTCTACCATATGCGATGATCGTGGACAAGAATTGTTGTATGCTGGAATGAGAATATCTGATGTGTTTAAAGAAAACATTGGAATCGGTGGTGTTTTAAGCTTGCTTTGGTTTAAACGACGACTTCCTGACTATGCATGCCGATTTATCGAAATGATACTCATGTTGACAGCTGATCATGGACCCGCTGTATCTGGGTAAGCAATATTTATCAACAAATTTTATTGATAATTTCAGTTTTTAACATTTAATTCGTATCTTTATCATTTTCAGTGCACACAATACAATTGTTACTGCTCGTGCCGGAAAAGATCTTATATCAAGTTTGTGCACTGGACTTTTAACAATTGTAAGTTTCTATTAAACTTTTACGCCCTTGACTACATTTTCTGAAAAGTTCCCGCCTTTAACACGTTTTGGTCATAGGGAGATCGATTTGGAGGTGCACTCGATGGTGCCGCAGAGATGTTTACTGACGCTTATGACAAAAGCTTGACTCCTCGTGAATTCGTTAATTCAATGCGAAAGCAAAACAAACTGTGAGTTAACTAAAATTCTTTCATTTTGAAGCGGACAATTTCATAGTAACTAAAACACAATTGATTTTTAATTTAGCATTCTCGGTATAGGACATAAGGTCAAATCACGTAATAACCCAGACTTTCGCGTCGAAATAATAAAGGAATTTGCCAGAAATAACTTTCCATCTACAAAGTTACTGGATTATGCTTTAGCCGTTGAAGAAATAACAACAGCGAAAAAAGATTCACTAATTCTTAATCTTGATGGTGCCATCGCAGTTTGTTTCGTTGACATGTTACGTGAATCAGGTGCATTTAGTAGAGAAGAAGCGGAAGAATATATTAAGATTGGTGCCTTAAACGGATTATTTGTATTAGGTAGAAGCATAGGTTTCACCGGTAAGAAACTTATTGTAAGATTATGGCAATTAAAAGACATGTGTAATTATAATTTAATAAATGTTAAATATTTTATCACATAGGTCATTATCTTGATCAACGTCGACTTAAACAAGGACTTTATCGACATCCATGGGATGATATTTCTTATTTGGTGCCAGGTGTGGAAACTGGACGTACATTTGTTAGTCAAGACAAAGTTACAGAAAAGGGCGTATGAAACATTGATAAGTGATATATATATATATATATATATATATACAAAAAATTTAAATCTTTAGTGTGTTCCTAAGAATATCTTGGTGATCCTTAGGATTTTTTCTAATTTATCTAATTTATTTATTAAAATTCTTATGAGCTATCCTTTAAAATACTGTTATAATCTTATAAATTGACATGAAAAGGTTACAGAAAATAAATATATACCAATGATTAATAGTTTATTGGATGCTTATTAAACATTTTAAACGTCCGAAAAAATACTCTTTACAATCATTTCAACAGCAGGCTGAATTCCTTTGAGTTCCACCAACCTTTGAAAATTGTATGGTATCTGGTCAATTACGCGTTTTTCGTCAATCGATTTCCCTGCATAATTTTTTTTATTAGATTTGATATAATTGTATAATTGTTAAGAAATCAAAAAGATTTGTTTAAACTTACAATGGTCAGGCATCCTAGCTAGTAAACTGACATCCGGGCACACGTGACCAGATGTTAAATTTAAATGCCATTTGAAGATCAATTCCGGACTAACTCGACTAAAAAATTGCAAGCGTAAATATTACGGACACATAAATTAAGAACTTTTTGAGTTCCAATGATTCTAATTCAAACCTATCGTTAGGATCCGAAAATTTCAGCAAATAATTAGCACATGCATTAACGGTTAGGAATGAAACTTTTTGCTTCATCGTATTAAATAATAATTCGCGTTGACCATTCAATCTGGCGTATTCGACGAACTCTTTGAGAAACGTTAATAAGTTTGCGTCTTTTTCCATACTAAATATATTAATTAATTACACGTATTAATAGGGGTTTATTCAACAAGATTTGAACGTAACTATTAACTGTATTTACTTTTCAACAAAATGCCCAATTTCGCGCCTAACATATGGATCAACTTTAATTTTTAAGATTTGGGTACGAAGATCGGATTCGATTACATCGAACTCAAGATTAAAGTCCAAACCCCGGGAATCTCCGGCCATAATGTAATGTCTAATATATTCTGAAAACAAATATTACGTAAAACTTTTAATCTTTTTTAAGATTAAAGATAAATTAGCATCTGCATTGTACCTCCAGTGGATGACATTTTCACATGATTGGTAACGTGAGTAAAATGAACTTTGGTATATGATCTTAATTGTGCTATTTGGTTAATAGCTTGATCGATATTATGATCAACACTTTTACAAGGTTTAGCCGATAAAAGAGATTGATCATTGACGTTGATCAGATGTTCGCTGTTAAAAAAAAAAACAAATTGACGACTTTAGAAATAAAAAAAAAAAAAATTTGTTTAAACAGCCTTTAAAGATACATACATAAAATTTGTGTTGGTTGAAACACATTTTTTATTTTGGCGTACTTGGGTGAGTCGATCTTCTAAGCTATTAATTTCTTCTTGTAATTGAGTAAGGGTTAAAGATTCAGACATTTCTAAGGATATTCTATCACAGCTAAGACGCGTATATTTATTTAAGAGAATGGGCGATCTTTCTTGACACGTAAATATCATATGATTTATACAGTTTGATTGGTTGATGATGATCAGTGTGTAACGTAATAATCAAAAACAACGGAAGGTCAACAACGTCCAAACTTTATCTTAGCGATGGCGGAAACCGGTGGAACGGGAACAACACTACAATAACAATAACACTACAACAACAATAACACGACAACAATAACACTACAACAATAACAGCACAAACAACGGGAGAAAGTCAAGAAAGTCAACAATGTCCAAATTTTATCTTAGCAATGGGTGCGTATATTATATATTTTTGTTTAGTTACACGTTTTTGTTTTTGTCTTATTTAATAAAATTATCTAATAAAGCTATTTAATAAAGGTATCAAATTGTATAATAAAATTATTTAATAAAGTTATAAAATTATCTAATTTGTATTTTCGGTTTTCATATTTCGGTCGGATTAGCAAAACGGAAATTTAAAATTTTTATTTTTTTAAAATCCTCTATATATATCATAACAAAAATAAGAGTTGAATTGTTGAGTTCTTGCAAAATAGATACAATTTCAGTTTCTAATCTTTTTTGCATTAATCTGTCTAAATGCTAATCAGCGATATATTTCGATATATTGCATAATACATAATTGAAAATATATATTATATACTCGACCTTAAAAACACGACGTATTTTGCTATTAAAATAAAATAACAAACTAGTTAGTAAAAAAATAATAATAAAAATAAACAAAACTACTTAGTGTAATTAAAAATTTTTCTTGTTAATCAGTTATTTTTTTTTGATCGTTAAATGCAAGTTAGTCATTGAACAGTCGTTCAATGTCCAGGCCACACCACGAGGAGGTTTGCATTTGTGGCCCGAAAGG